GGAGCTTTATATAGCTACTATTCTGATCTTTCATTTAATAAATTAATTATAGGCTGAGTAAACAGATGACTACATAAAGTGAAAAAATTTGTCTGTGATAATATACATCCTATGATGGTACTGACTTTTAAATCTGTAATTTAAAGTATATAGGAGGGGGGCCGGCACTGTGGCACAGCAGATTAACGCCCTGGCCTGAAGCACCAGCATCCCATATGGGCGCCAGTTCAAGACCTGGCTGCTCCATTTCCGATCCATGGCTTTCTGCTATGGCCTGGGAAAGCCATAGAAGATGGTCCAAGTTCTTGGGCCCCTACACTTATGTGGGAGACCTGGAAGAAGCTCCTGGCTCCTGGATCCTGGATCCTGGCCATTGCAGCCAATTGGAGAGTGAAGCAGCAGAAGGAAGACCTCTCTCTCTTTCTCTCCCTCTCTGCCTTTCCTTTCTCTGTGTAACTCTCACTTTCAAATAAATAAATAAATCTTAAAAAAATGTATATAGGAGGCTAATTAATATGAGAAATTTGAATGTATTCTAATATTAAAAATATTGTTCAGCATTCATGATTACAGAGTGCAGAAGTTACTAAAAACAGAGGTATGTATGGCTCCTTTATACTGTTCTGGCACCCTGTTTATGCATAATAAGCCAAAAAACCTCCCTTCTCAGATCAAAATTGTCCTTAAGCACCTCAAAGAAAACGCCAGCTGTACATCAGAGAATATGGAATTGGCATAAAATTGGGAGTAACATCCTATTAGAGATAGCATTGATGGAAATAATAAATAATGATTTTTACAAGTGAATTTGAAATATCTATCATCAAAGCAAATCTTCTGAGCTAGGAGAGGTTTGAAAACTTGTGACTAAGAGCAATCCTATGATCTATTAGAGAGTTGGAAAACTTCAACTCTTGAGTCAAATGCTTTTGTTACTTGAACACAGCCATGCTCCTTGATTTATGTATTGACTGGGCCTTTTCTCAGGTTACAATCACTGACTTGAGAAGGTCCAAGAGACCATGTTCTCCAATGCTTCCATTATTTACCATTTGCCATTTACAGAAAGGCTGCCAGCCCTAGTCTGTTAGATCACTTTATCACTTTTTTTTTTTTTTTGACAGGCAGGAGTGGACAGTGAGAAAGAGAGACAGAGAGAAAGGTCTTCCTTTGCCGTTGGTTCACCCTCCAATGGCCGCTGCGGCCGGCGCGCTGCGGCCGGCGCACCGCGCCGATCTGATGGCAGGAGCCAGGAGCCAGGTGCTTTTCCTGGTCTCCCATGGGGTGCAGGGCCCAAGCACTTGGGCCATCCTCCACTGCACTCCCTGGCCACAGCAGAGAGCTGGCCTAGAAGAGGGGCAACCGGGACAGAATCCGGTGCCCCGACCGGGACTAGAACCAGGTGTGCCGGTGTCGCAAGGCGGAGGATTAGCCTAGTGAGCCGCGGTGCGCCGGCCCACTTTATCACTTTTATCTTCCCTTCATTTCATTCAGTAAATGACAGAGTTAGCCCCTGTATCTGTACATTCTGCAGGCTCCAATTCACCCAACTATGTCTCAAAAATATTTGAAAAACAGAACTTAATCTATATTGAAAATTTATAGACAGTATTTCTTGTGACTACTCCCTAAACAATATATGTATGTATGTAATGTACAGTATAACAACTATTTACATAGAACTTAGACAATATGAGTTGTCTAATGTAGAGATAAAAGTATACAGAGGATGAGTAGACTAAAGGAAATACCACACCATTTTATATAATGGATACGAACAGCTGCAGAATTTGCTAACCATACGTGAATCCTGGAAGAAATCTAATGAGAATGGGAGGAACAATTGCACTCCCAAGCCCTACATAGGTTTGATGTTGCCATAAGACTTGTCAAACATTGGAATGTTAGAGGAATGACAGTGTGAAAGTTTTTTAAAATTTATTATTTTAAAGAGAACAGATTTCATATTTCATATGAGCAACTTTAGAAGATAATCATAGTTTGACCCTTCCTTCTTTCTCTCTCTTAATCCACCTCCTTCTTTCATTTTCTCTGTAATTTTTGTGAAAATATAATTTCAGTCCACTCTACAGTCACCAATAGCCATAATATCCAACAAGTACAAAGTAGAAAGATGACAGAGTTATGCCTTCAGAATGCTGACTAGCCAGTGGCCTTCCAATGCCAGAATAAAATTTGTGAATCAGAACCACCCTAAAGACTTGCATGAGAAAAAAAGTGCCTACTATTTATATTCTATGGGTATTTTTATGTAGCAAAAAAAACCTAGCCTGGGTGATTGCTGTACCTTGGCTTAAGCATCTTGACAGAGGATGATTTCTCTGATTCCTGACATGAGAGAAGAATGGCCAAGAATTTCAGACTATGCGTGGTTTAGTTCCTTCTGGACTTGACTTCCAACCTTAAGGGGTTTGATGAACATATTTCCATTCCTCCACCTCTATTAAGCAGTGCTGAAAGATCAGACCTGACCTAGAGGTTCATTAAACTCTAGAAATCTTGGCTTTTCTGTGTTGAACAATCTGTGGGAGCCAGTCAAGATTCTTCAGCTGTTGGTCTCAATTTCTTGCTTTTAAGGTAGGCCAAGAAGTAGAAGGAGAGAATGGGACAAGACCCTTTAGGCCAAAGTTTTTTCAACTAGCTATATCAATAAAGCTCCTAGCTGTTCTCATCACTGAATTACAAAATGTGAATTTATAAGAAGATAGTTAATCATTAAGGGGTTAAAAAATCACGACTGGCTCTAAACAAACCTCACAACAGTGACACACTAGACTTTCTTAGTCAGTCTGGGTTGCTTGCAAAGGAGCAAGGGCCCTACCAAATGCAGAGCTGGTGCCAAAGAGAGTGGCAAACCGTGGACTAGATGACATCTCCTGCTATTGAGAAAACATTTCAATCTGCAGCATTAATTTGCACACATAAATCTGAGATATGATAGTGTACTTGTTTACAGAAGTAGTAATAATATGATCATTTGTTTTCCAAACAAGACATAAAAGGCTGACATATAAGTGTTCTCAGTAATGTGTAAGAATGTTGCTATAGGTGAGCTTAGAAGAATTTATTTGATTATTTCCACTGCTTAACCAAAGGAATATTCAATGTTTTTGGAAGTAGTCAGTACTTTCTATAAAGATTTGAATTTATTCCTTGAAAATGGGAAGAATGTTCATCTGCATATTTTCCCAAGATTCTATTTCTGCTTTCCTTCTCTATCCCTATTTCAAATATTAGTGATTATCAACAGTGCTAAAATTCAACTGAACGTTTTAAGTTTCATAGTGTGTACTTCACACTATAGCTGAGAGATTTGGAAACCTCAACTTTTTACTATACCTAATTTAATTTCATTGGCATTGGTATGACTGCTTGAAGATAAGATTATCATGTGAGCCAGACAACAAATCAGGTGTACTTCTTTCATGCAGGTAGTCTATCCCCCCCCCAAAAAAAAAAAACAGTGCATTTAATACCATCTTTGTTCATAGTCTGCTGTGAACACCTTATGTCACTGATGATTAGTTACATATTTAATTACTTGGAGTAGCACTGTACTTGAGAGATGCCAAAATAAAACATTAACAGCACAGCAACTAGACCCTAGGCTAGAACTGCCTGTTTTCTGAACTTTCTTCCACGGCTTAGTAATTCTGGACCGTTACTTGCTCTCTGTGCCTCAGTAACCTCATCTATAAAGTGGGCATATTAACAGTACCTCTGAGTTAATATTTGAAACATCTCCATAACAGCACCTGATATAAGGTAAGTACCATTAAGATCTTGCTATGATTTCTACTGCAGAGCCTTTAAAAGTGTTGGTCTTGTAAGAAGAAGCCAGTTTAGTGTCACTCTATTATAAATGACTTATGGTTTGTGGATCTTCCTTTCTTTGGATTCCCCTCTTTGATCCCTCTTCCTCCCTTCCTCATCCTTCTCCACCCCTCCCTTTCTCTTGATGACATAGATGACATCATGATCTTTTCTGTTATTCTGAAATCCTATTGCATTCTTGATAAATCCATCCATCTATGTTAATGAGATGTTGGAAGCTTGGCTTGTAACGAGTTACAAACAAGGCACAACTCCTGGGAAAGAAGTTCTCTGTGTCCAATCTTCCCTGACTTCCCTGAGAGAAGCAGACCATTGTCCCCCTACATCCTTGTTCATTAGGCTGGGGATCTCTGGTGCTGACATTGCTCATCTTGACACTTGGTCTTTCTACCTCCATAAAAACAACTAAAAAATATCTCCAGAGTCGGTTCCCACTGCTTTGGGGCTGGTGTACCCATCCCTGGACTGTTTTGGCATGAGCAGAAACTGCTGCCATGCCTCTAATTTCAGGGGGGTGTTCTCCCCGAGGGGCATTTATGCAGCATCTCTACAATTTAGAAGTAGATAGAGCCGGCGCCACGGCTCACTAGGCTAATCCTCCGCCTAGCGGCGCCGGCACACCGGGTTCTAGTCCCGGTTGGGGCGCCGGATTCTGTCCCGGTTGCCCCTCTTCCAGGCCAGCTCTCTGCTGTGGCCCGGGAGTGCAGTGGAGGATGGCCCAGGTGCTTGGGCCCTGCACCCCATGGGAGACCAGGAAAAGCACCTGGCTCCTGGCTCCTGCCATCGGATCAGCGCGGTGCGCCGGCCGCAGCGCGCCGGCCGCAGCGCGCCGGCCGCAGCGGCCATTGGAGGGTGAACCAACGGCAAAGGAAGACCTTTCTCTCTGTCTCAACGGCCAAAGGGAAAAACCTTCCCCCCGGGCCCCCCCCCCCCCCCCTGGCCCACTCCCTCCCCGTGGAAAAAAAAAAAAAAAAAAAAAAAAAATTTTTGAAAGGGCCTTTGGCTGTTTTCTCATCAATTTTTGCTATTATGATGCTACGAACATGACCACTAAGCAGCTAAGTACATTTGGAGAGTCTGCTCATTGTGTTTAAAAATCATATGTTTATGATTCTTGGCAAGACCTTAGATTTGTAGAACTCAGATTTCTTCAGAAGCAAAACAGGACAATTTTAATGATACAAAAGTGAAGAAAACATACACATTTGGAAATTTGGTTTCACTTTCAATTCATAAGCCTCAAGCAATTCATACTAATAAGGAACGAAAGTGCAAATAATCTCTTTATAAACAGGTTTTTTTAAGTGCGAATAGAAGATAGTGTTTGCCCATGAACCAAAAAGTGCTGTGAGTCTTCTTCATTGTGACTCTCTCATTCCAGGTAAAGACCTAAGACAGAGGCACCACAGTGAAGAAGAGGTTGACTGTGTTCTGAGTAGGACACCCTTATGTGGCTCTACCACAATTGTACCTAGGAGTATCAGACCATATGAGCACCTTGCTCTCATTCTTTACTATGTGTTTCCCACAATTCAATGTGCATCCTGATGACAGCTTCACATTCATCTTCTTGAAGTCCTTCACTCTGATCTGATCTTACATCTGCAATTTCATCTAGAGCATTGTTCACTCTAGCCTTAGTTCTCGTATTGGCTTCTGCTTGGTATTTCTGTTTCTAATATTTCTCTATACTATGACAGGAATCATTTTACCCAATACAAATCTGACAATGATAACAAACATGGTAACATCTCCTGCACACCTTCTACTGTCATCAGGATGAAGTCCAAATCCTCAAGGTTCTTAAAAAGCCCTTCCTGAAGACACTGTCCATTCCTTTAACCTCACTACTACCAATTTTCTCTTTTACCTGACTTTGCTTACATACACTGCACATTTTTGTGCGCAAATTCTTCTGAAAAGAACATTCTGCTGCACTTTTCACTTGTTGAACTACCAAGTTTCATATTTTACTCAGAGAGAGAGAGTAAGAGAGAGATGTCTTCCATCTGCTAGTGCATTCCCCAAATGCTCACAGCAGTCAGTGCTGGGTCAGGCCAAATCCACGAGCCTAGAACTCCACTGGGGTCATGGGTTACAGGGATGCAAGTACTTGAGTCAAAACATTCTGCCTCCTAAGCTGTGCATTAGCAGGAAGCTGGTTGGAAGCAGCACTCCAATATGGAATGTGGGCATGCAAGCAGAGCGTGAACCACTACCAAACACCTGCCCTGTCATTCCTTTTCATAGCTAAGTAATACATGTCTGCTGCAACTCATAATGTCTCGTATTCTTTCAATGTGAAGAGTTTCCTTTGAATTTGATTTATGTTCGAGCTGTTAGAATTGAAAATCCTCAGTGTTTGTTTACCTGGAAATGTCCTCATTTAGACTTGCTAGATAGTTGTAGTGGAGCTATAACTATGGACAGTCTTGTTCTTTCATCACTTTGTGTCATTCCCAATGCTCTCTTGTCTCCACAGTTTATGTGAGAAATGTGCATTAATCTTATTGAAGACTATGGTATGTGATGATTGAGTTCAAGATTCTATGATTGTAATTTGTCTCAATGTGGAAGTCCTAAAGACATTTCTTACTTTTATAAGACAATTCATGGAGTTGAACGGATGCACTATGGTTTGGTGCTTTGTAGATGGAGCACATATGGGTGGGTAGGGTGTGCAGGCACCATGAGCTTACTCTAGGCTGTGGATCAGCTGCTTCACATTGGCACAGAGAAGGGCTGGGTCTGTGAATGCAGAGCCAGCTTCAACATCCATTATTCGTACTGACAACAGCCAGAGGTGCTTCACCATGCCCAACTTGTATGTAACCCTGGACTCATGCCCCATCCAAAAAAGGTATGCCAAGTTCCCTGGCCCCTACAAGCATACACTCCTGGAACTCAAGTGTAAGCCTCAGGACTTCCATTGAGTAATACAGGCACACTTCCAAGAATAAAGCTTCTATTAAAAAAATTAAAAGAAAAAAATCACATAGAGAAAATACTAACAAGTAATTCAAGATGCATATAAATCAATGTAGAAACACAACCAACAGGAGCAGCAAAGGCAATATTCCTCCCCAAAATGAACACAATCCATTAATATTCAGTTTTGCAGAGGAGAGATTAACAAAACAGTTAAAAAGGAATTCAAAAGAATAATTGTAAAGTTACTCACTAATAGAGATAGTTAAACAAATTAAGGAAATCTATACATGACACATATGAGAATTTCTGCAAAGAGATTGAGATATTGAAGAAAAAACAAATATTAGTCGTGAAGTATTTGAAAACTCAAATAAAAAAATACAATGGAGGGGCCGGTGTTGTGATGTAGCACATAAACCAACTGCTTTCAATGCTGGCATTCCATATTGGCACTGGCTCATGTACTGGCTGCTCCACTTCTGATTCAGTACCCTGTTGTTAATGGCCTGAAAAAAGCAGCAGAAGATGGTGGAAGTGTTTAGGCCCCTGCCACGTACATGGGAGACTCAGATGAAGCTCCTGCTTTTGGCCTGCCTCAACCTTGGCCATTACAGCTACCTGGGGAGTGTAGAGGAAGAGGAGAAGGAAGAGGACAAGGGGGAGAAGGAAGTAGAGGAAGGAAAGGGTAAGTGGAAGAGGGAGTAAGAAAGAGAAGAAGGAGGAGGAGGAGGAAAGAAGGGGAGAAGAAGGAGGAGGGGGAGGAGAAACATAAATGGTGGTCAAAATATATGAGGTACCATCAAAAGACAATTACTTACTCTTAGGAGTTCTTAAAGGTATGGATTAAAAATGGCTCACAAAATTTCTCCATTTTGAAGAAAAATACATATATCCTAATACAGGAAGCTCATAGATCCCCAAATAGGCACAATCAAAAAATGCATTCACCATAACACATTAAGTCAAATTACTAAATCTAAAACATAAAGAGAGCATTCTAAAATTTGCAAGTGGGAAATGTCCTTATCACTTGAGAGGAATTTACATCAGACTGATAGCAGATTTCTCAACAGAAATCCTAAAAGCCAAGAGAGAATGAAAAGATATAATCCAGATCCTAAAAGAAAAACAAACAATAATAACAACAAAAAAATAATCCCTGCCAACCCTGAATACTTTACCCAGTGAAGCTGTCATTAATAAAACAGTAAATTGGGGGCTGTGATTGTGGCATAGCAGGTAAAGCCACTTCCTGCCATGCCAGCATCCCATATGATTCTAATTTGAGACCTGGTAGCTTCACCTCCAGTCCGGTTCCCTGTTAGTGGCCTGTGAAAATCAGCAGAAGATGTCCCAAGTGTTTGGGCCCCTGCTACTAGTGATCAAGCTGTTTCCTGGCTTTGGCCTTGATCAACCCTGGCCATTGCTTCCATCTGGGGAATAGACGAGCAGATGGAAGATCTCACTCTCTAGCTCTTGTTCCTTCTGTAACTTTGACTTTCAAAATAAATAAATAACTAATAAATAAATAAATAAATCTTTTTAAAAAGAAGGTAAAATAAAGACCTTCCAAGACAAGCCAAAATAAAAGAATTTTTCACCACCCAGCCAGCCTTACAAATGATACTTAAGACTGTACCTCACAGAGAAAGGGAAAGATAATCAACATCTTGAAAAAATAATATTAAGGCAGAAGCTCTGCTAGTAAAAGATAAAAGGATACTGAAAACAACAACAAAAACAACAACAAAGCAGTATTTAAGGGAAAATCCTGGGATCAATCATTAACAATCAGTAATAACTTGAAATGTATATCTATTAATTCTCCTACTGAACCAACTAAAAATGATAAGGATTTTGATTAGACATTTCCTTTAAAAATATATACAGTTGACTAACAAGTAGATGAAAGAAGCTCAACAATTTATCAATAAGAGAAATGCAAATTGAGACTACAATTAGGTACCATTTCACACCCTGTAACAAACGATTGCAAGTGTTGTCAATCAGACAACTTAAAACCATCAACTATTGCCAGTGTGAATGTAAAAGTGACTGCAAATGTACAAGGACATTGAAAAACAGTTTGGCAGTTCTTTATATACAGGAATTTACTGTATGATTCTTTAATATCATCCCCAAAACAAATAAAAACATATTTATGCACTAGTGTGTATATCAATCTTTGGGACATCATTACTCATCATAGCAAGAATGGGTAGTAAAGCAAAATGCTCATTAACTGATTAAATAATTAGTGAAATATAGTGTATTCATAACACAGCATGTTATCCAAAATTAAAAATGAATGAAAAGTAGTACTCATATGTACTGCAATGTGGAGGCACTCAAAAAATATTGTGCTTAGACAAACCAGTTGTTAAAGACAACATAGAGGCTGGCACTGTGGCACAATGGGTTAAAGCCATGATCTGCTATGCCATCATCCCACATGGGCACTGGTTCATGCCCGTCTGCTCCACTTCCAATCTAGCTCCCTGCTAATGCATCTTGGAAAGCAACAGAGGGTGGCCCAAGTCCTTGGGCACCCGCACCCATGTGAGAGACCCAGAAGAATCAAAAGGCTTGCATAGCCTTGGCGACTCATGACAAGAGCCTAGGGTGATTACTGATGCCATAAACAAGAGTGTCAATTTGTTAAGTCAACAACAGGAGTCACTGTGCACTTACTCCTCATGTAGGATCTCTGTCCTTAATGTGCTGTACATTGTGACTTAATGCTATAACTAGTACTCAAACAGTATTTTTCACTTTGTGTTTCTATGTGGGTGCAAACTGTTGAAATCTTTACTTAATGTATGCTAAACTGATATTCTGTATATAAAGAGAATTGAAAATGAATCTTGATGTGAATGGAAGGGGGGAGGGAGAGGGAAAGGGGAGGGTTGCGAATGGGAGGGAAATTATGGGGGGGGGAAGCCATTGTAATCCATAAGCTGTACTTTGGAAATTTATATTCATTAAATAAAAGTTAAAAAAAAAAAAGTAAAAAAAGAAAAAAGAACTCCCTGGCTCCTGGCTTCAGATCGGCACAGCTCCAGCCATTGTGGCCATTTGGAGAGTGAACCAGCAAATGGAAGACCTCTATCTCTACCTCTCTCTGTAACTGTCTTTCAAATAAGTAGAATAAATCTTTTTTAAAAAGCAATATAATGTGCAATTCCATTTAAATAAATTTCCAGAACAAGCATATATGTATATATTAGTAGTTTCTGCAGGTGAGAGAGCATAGGGAGTGACTTCCAAGGGGTATGACATTTCATTTTTGGATGATGAAAATGTCCTAAAATTAGATTATCATGACAAATTCATAATGTTGTAAACATGCTAAATATATTGGATTGCATTTAGGTGAGTTTTATGGAATATAAATTATATCTCATAAAAATTTTAAAGGAATTATAAAAATAATAAATTATATCACTCACAAAAATATATTTTAGAAATTTTACATATATTATTCAAATATTTTACATTTCTTTCAGTTCATCATTATTCCCATTTGTTCCATCATATTTTTTAAAGTTTCTTTACAATTAGCTGTATGTATTTAATTTTTTGTTTAGAAAACTGTTGCACTAATTGGCTACCTACTAAATCTATAAAGAATTGATGTAACATTGAAATAGCTATTTGAATATAAAAACAAATTTTGTCAGGATTATTGGTCCTTACTTTACTTTTGCTCTGTTTTTGTCTGGCTTTGGTATCTGAGTAATAGTGCCCTTCTGATTATATTTGTCAAATGTCTATTCTTTTTGATTTTGTTGGTATAACTTAAGAATAATTAGAATTGGTTCTCCTTTAAGTGATTTCAGAGATTAAGCCATCAGTTCTGGATCTTTTTTGTTTGAAGATCTGCACTTGCTGCTTCAACCTCATTGGTCATTATTGGTCCGTTTGGATGTTTCTATTTTTCCTTGACTTGATTTAGGTATATTATCTGTGCCCAGGGACTTGTCAATTGTTTTGAAGTTGTCCAATTTCTTTGTGTATAATTGTTCATATCAGTTTCTTATGATGCTCTGTATTTCTGTGCTAATTGCAATGCCACTATTTTACCTCTAACTTTATCTGTTCACATAATATTTTTCCTTTTTTATTTTACCTCATGTTTTTGTGTTTGCTCATCTTCTCACAAAACCAACTCTTCATTTCACTGATTTTTGTCTTTGTTTATATTATAAACTTTTTTTTAGTCTTTATTACTGGTTCCTTCTAATAATTTGGGGTTTGATTTCTTTTTGTTCCTCTGGATGCTGAAAGTGCATAATTTTATATTAATTTAAAATTGTTCTCTTTTATGTATTGCATCACAATTAACAATGGTCAAAATATGGACTCACTAAGGTGCCCAACAAAATATAAATAGGTTAAGAAAATATGATTTTATATATACACATATATAGTAATCTTATTCATCTGTAAAAATAACAAAATCCTACTAATTGCAGCAACTTGGATGGACTGCCAAGAGAATATCAGCATGGTTACTAGTTTTATATATAATACAGGGATATGGCGATAAAATTGTTAAATTGATGGTGGTGAGAAGGACTTGATGTGAAAGAAAAGCATTGTTATGTCTCGCTTCAGTTGTTAGTATCTCTGTTGTCAGTAAAGTGAAAACAGGAGGGAAAAATAACTGGGAAGGAGAGATGAAAACGAGACACACTCAGTGCTTAATGATTCGTTAAATTCTAGGGAAAGATTGAGGAATGGGGAATAGGAAAACAGGTAGCAGATGTGTTCTCCCTGAACCCTGGAATGAACAAGTTTGTCCTATTCAGCACTTTGCCTAAACTTGAAGGGACCTATTCCTTCTTTTTCTTCTTTCCTGTCTTTCCAAACTGTTGGCAGCAAAACAACAAGCATTTTGTGACAAAGATTATAACAGCTGCCACACAAGCCAGCAGGAACCCGATCACATCCAAAGAGTGGGCCTGGAACCAGCTGAGGTCATGGACTGCTGGCCGAAGGTGCTTGGCTCCCTTGTGGCGCATGACAAACTCGACCCAGAAGACTGCCCGGTCCAGGGGCTTCATGGGCTGATCGTGGTGAATCCTCGATAACTTCATGGCGTTCTCTTTGTAGCTGGAAGTGAGAACAGAGACAGAAAGTAGAGCGTTCTTATCTTTGTTTTAATTAAATATAGGTACATGAAATCTGCTTTAAAGCCAAAAGCTTATGAAAGTAAAGATAAATTCTTGGAGCTACATGAACTTTGTTGACTGTATATCATTTACATATATGGTGAGGAGACTGACAAAGCAGCACATAAGGGTACTTCAAATGATCTGTGGAAAAATTGAACCAAATACAGTTTTATTGTCATTCATAAAAAGCTTTGAAATCTGCACTTATTTTTATAGGCTATTCATTTTTTCACAAACTTTTTGAGGATCCCTTGTATGCCTAGTTTTCTCCTCTTACAATCAAGGAAACGAATAAAGAGGCACAAATGTAGGAAGCTCATTGTCAATTTGCGCTTTTTTTCATAAAGTAACATTAATCACTGAATGAGCTACAGTTTTCGAGATGATTTCAAGCCCAAGACTGTGAATTATTCAGTATTGTGGGAAAATGCTGCATAAAAAATCCCATAACCCTGGTCTTGAATGCTTCCTGGTGCAACTAATATCATAGTCAATATTAGAACCTTTCAAATCAGCAGTACTTACGAAGGGTCGTTGATCACTGTCTTTAAGGCACTGAGCAAGTCTGCACTTGTCATTGTGTGCAGGCTCAACTCTACAGCCGCTCCTTTGGCTCTCATGTGAGCAATGTTGTCAGGCTGATCGCCAAACAAGGGAACGCCTACCATGGGGACACCATGGTAAATTGCTTCATAGATTCCATTAATTCCACCATGTGTGATGAAAGCTTTGGTTTTGGGATGACCTAGTTTGGGGAGCAGAGCAAAACTGAGTGAAGATTGCATTATCACTTGTAAAAGTATTTTAGAAAAGCAGAAGGGAAAATTACTATAGGATAACTCGATGAAGAAGGCAATGTATCCTATAGAAGGTGATTATCTGGGGCATTTCTACCACAGAAAATGGCATCTTTTTTAATAGCAGTTTTGGCATTGCTCAAAACTCTGAATGTAAACATTACAATGCATTAATTTAGGAAAATACTGATCAGTTCTTTAATTATATATACGTCAAAATTTGAGATACTTTGAGAAACGTCTACAATTGTTAACTGTTCGTTGAATTTTATTCACTGTGTCCCTCGTCCAGTTGCATACTTTTACTTTCCCATAGTCTTACCAAGAAGATCATTCTGGGGTATCCAATCATAGACTTGAGTATTTGCACCTAATGTAGCTGGTTTCTTGCCTTTGAATTTCCATAAAACCTGAAATTCACCAGTAACAATTAAAGAATAGCATTTTAAGGCTGTAGAAATTGTTATAAGATAAATATTCCACTCTGTGAATATTCCTTTCAGTTGAAAGAGGAGTATTTTCGAGCACAGTGTAATGTGTAAAAAACAGTAGTATTGTTTACAATTTTCATTTTAAATCATTTATATTTATATTCCTTCTATTTGAAAAGTAGCTGGGGAGGGGAGAGAGAGAGAGAGAGAAATTGAGAGATCTTTTATTTACTGGTTCATTCTCCAAATGCATAAAATAGCCTGGGTTGGAGCAGCCTGAAGCCATAAGCCAGGAATTCAATCTGGTCCCCCATATAGATGGCAGGGCCCCATGTACTTTAGCCATCATCTGTTGCATGCACCTTGTATTAACAGGAACCTGAAATCACAAGCAGAGCTGGGAAGAGAATCCAAGCTCTTCTCTATGGGATGTCACAGTCTCAAGTAGTATATTTGCCGCTGTGCCGAATGCCAACCCATATACTCATCTTCTTAAAAGGTTGTTGTATAGTTTCTTTCAAATGTATTGTTGGGGCCCGCACTGTGGGGCAGTGGGTTAACGCTCTGGCCTGAAGTGCCAGCATCCCATATGGGTGCTGGTTCACCTGGCTGCTCCAATTCCAATCCAGTTCTCTGCTGTGGCCTGGGAAAGCAGTAGAAGATGGTTCAAGTGCGTGGGCCCATGCACCCAAGTGGGAGATCTGGAAGAGGCTCTTGGCTTCTGGCTTTGGAACGGCACAGCTCTGGCCATTGTGGCCAACTGGGGAGCAAACCAGCGGATAAAAGACCTCTTTCTCTCTCTCTCTACCTCTCCTCTCTCTGTGTAACTGACTTTCAAATAAAATAAATAAATCTTTTAAAAAATAAAAAAGTATTGTTACCAATGATTTATTAATAATTGAAGTATCCAGGAATGAGATTAATAATAAAGAATTGGAAAAGCAAGCATTATTTTCTAATTAGTCTGCATATACGAATTACATGGATGCATGGCTTCTGTGTAAATTTGAATCACTGGGCCATGATAGCTCTATCTTCCCATATATCTTTCTCACAGGTATAATTTATTCTAGCTTTCCTGTGTGCTTTTTGGATGATTTGCTGTCTACTCTTTTCTCTTCTGATCTTGTTTCTTTTTCTCTTTTCTTTAGTTTTTTTTATGAAAAACAAACAGGAAAGGGAGGTAAGGAGGGTGCCCAGAAGGTTACTCATATTCACTTTACAATGGGGCATGTTGTTTAGTTTTGTACTTCTGCTACATTAAATATTTTTTGCTTTGTGGAAGTCTTTAGAAAAAATCTTTCATTTGAATAGGAAGAATCACAGAATATCTTATAACCTAAAAATTGGTAGGCTGTAATATAAAATATAGTTGCTTTTCCCTTTAGAAAAAATTAATTAATAAGAAAAACTGCAAAAATCTAACAATCTACTTATATGACCACCATATATGTGGAGGTATGGAGATATTCTGCAGAATCATAGCCCTCTCAATTTATCATATCAGTTTCCTCTTTTCCTTGTCCTTAGAAGCTAAAATGCTTCAGAATTTTTTTAGGTAATCAGAACAGGCCTTAATATTTCAAATTCTAAAATGTTCAGTGGGTTCAACATATTTATTTTTATTTTATTACAAACAAATGACAGTGAAGAGAGTTGTTTCCATAGTAAAGGCAAGGCTCAGTAAGCAAGTAAACAATTGTGCCTAAAACTGTTGTGACAGTATTTCACAGATTTTTACTCGATACTGATATCTTTCATGCTAATAGGAAAATGAGACTCAGCTTTCAGATGGAAAGGCACACTTGGATGCAGGGCTTTGCTGACCTTCTGTGGAATCTGAGCCAGGGCAGAAGCAATGAGGTCACCCTTTTCTTCAGGTAAATTATCAATTACAGAACCCAGAGAAAACACCACGATGCCATCTTCACCTGAGCTCTGGACAAACTCTTCCATTTCCTGTAAAGAAAAATATTCTGTGTATCACAAAAGTGCAATAGCACAGAGAATAATACCGAATTCATTTACACTATCATCATCAAGATTGGTATATTTAGACTTAATCTATATTCTGACATGCACAGCCATCTCAGATGTGTATGTCAAACCTCTCCCGTACATTTTTATTACTAGAATAGCCATGTTACAAAATGATCACACAGAAATATCACATAAGAATATAGCTTCTCCATGTTTAATAGAAACCAAGTTTTGAAAAGCAAGTGTTTTGAAAACTGAGCAAAATTATCTTAAAAAAGCAGATAAAACTGTGTGTGTCTGAATAAGGCTTCTAAATGATTAACAAAGTAATTTAAATATAATCAACATCTCTGTGCTGTTTTATTTAAATTTAATATTTTCTGTATTTTAAAGTTTTTATATTTTCTCATGGATGCATGTGTGCATGTGTGTGTTTGCATAAAAATGAACATGAGAGGGTAAAATAATCACCACAGATTAACTAGAGATGCATGGGAATTGTGATTTACTTGTCTTTCTTTTTTTTTTTTTTTTTTTTTTTTTTTTTTTTTTTTTTTGACAGGCAGAGTTAGTGAGAGAGAGAGACAGAGAGAAAGGTCTTCCCTCTGCTGGTTCACTCCCCAAATGGCCGCCACGGCCAGTGCTGCACTGATCCAAAGCAAGAATCCAGGTGCCTCCTCCTGGTCTCCCATGCAGGTGCAGGGCCCAAGCACTTGGGCCATCCTCCACTGCCTTCCCGGGCCACAGCAGAGAGCTGGATTGGAAGAGGAGCAAGCGGGACAGAATCTGGCACCCCAACCAGGGCTAGAACCTGGGCTGCCGGCGCTGCAGGCGGAGGATTAGCCTAGTGAGCCGAAGCAACGGCCTGACTTATTTGTCTTTCTGGATCTCTAGTTACAGAATAGCTAATGATGTCATCTTTTAATTGGGGTTTGTTTGTAACTATGACTTTTTTGGTATGAAATAAGATATTCTTAAGCCAAAAATGGAACTTTATTATCAATACTTGTCTTACTATGGAAAGAAATCTATCACTCTCCCAAAAATTCCATTGAGCTTGCAATATTCCTTAATGTGTTTTGCTCTTATTCCCACAACATAAGAAATTAGGGTTTCTCCTTACTCTCTGTTGATATTTGAACACAACATTCTTACTAATAATTAATGTGATGAGTTGTTGTGGCATCTGTTCTATGCTTCACACAAGAATCAGTGTTTTATCAACACTGACACAGTTTCAAATTCTCTGCCTCCTTCTAGTTCCTCAACATGTTTAATTTTGATACCTGCTTTATATCACTGACCCCCTGAACACCCAATTCCATATTACAGCCAAATCAACAGACTTGGTTAACTGTTCTGCCCTCACATTCCGTAGGAACTGTGGTGTTGTGCTGCAGTGACCACTTCTCACTCACGGAGTGACTCAACAGAACTCATGCTGCCTGCTCTTGAATCCAACAATCACAATCATCCACTGCAAACCTACAAAAGTAATGCCCAGCTTCCTAATAAATGTTTTGTTTTGCAGATCCCCTCGTCTATATTCTGTGCCACATCAGCTCTTCAAACTTGCTTGCTGTGGTAAGATCACCACTTCCCTGTGACTCCTCAGGACACACTGACTGCTTTTCTCTGTAAACTGCAGTTCATAAACTGCTTCTGTTATTTCATGGGCTTTGTTGAGTTGGCTCCTTGTTTTTCACTTGACCAGTTAATATGCCCTAAACTTTGTCCTGGTCAGTTTGCTTTGGAGTGGCTCTCCTGGTAGGAAGGAAAGGGATATTGGGCAGAAAACAGCCACAGAGGCATCTGCTACTTTAAAGAAGTTTATATGGGGACACACAGATGGTCACTGTTGCACAATCATGCATTAGGCCATGCACCAGGACTAAAAGTATCCTGTGAAACACACATTGTAACCATCTACAATTAAATATCCTTGAGTCCACTCAGGTAAGAGCTAGAGTTTATAGCCAATGTGGGGGACAAAGATCTCAAGTTCAAAATAAAAAAATGGAGAAATTTTCTATATTCATTTTGCTTCTCAATACAGTTTCTTCTGATATCCATAGCAGCTCACATTCTTTTTCTGAAGACTTGTGAATAACTCTAGTCTTGTTTTTCATTTCAAAAGAATCCTGCCACTAGGCTGAGAAAGAATTGATTTAACCTTTGGATCTCCCATGTCCATGAACTCTACTCCATGCTGACAACTTTCACGCTTTGTATTGCTGTAGCATGAGATTGAGACCACACATTATCCAAGTGATTTCTAGAGAACTTCACCTGAAATTTCCTTGGACTCTTCTCTTGCATGGTCATAAGATAGCATGCATAATATTAATTTCAAACATATTTTACCTCTATATATGTTCTATTTCAACATAACCTACCACACAAATTAAGCACTCAAAATGGAAATCAAGGGGTCCTGAATAACTTTCTGTCAACATTTCCCCTCCCTCCTTCCTAGAAAATGCACCACAAAGTCTGGAGAAGCGTGTTATCTTGCTACCATCATGATAAATGTCCTGTTCCTAACCCAAATATGCCTGTGGAAAAGAATAGAGCAGTCTCCTTAGTGATCCTCATAGCCCTAATTTTCTGTAACTCCAATACATTAGCAACACATCAGTAACATCAATACATTAAAATTTACCTTGATCACTTCATACACTCCAAGTTCATCAAAGCAACACCTAAAATACTTTTTTTTAGCAACCATAGGTCCCTTGAGACATAGAAAATGAATATGGAGTGAAAACTGAGGTTGTTCATCATATCATCTGTGTTAATAGGGATGCACTTACTTCATGGAAAATCAAGTATCATATCATAAATCACCCAAAAGCCCTTTAAGTGATAATGCTACCTTAGGCAAAGGTTTGGCAGGTTTGCAATGCAGCCCTCCAACAAATTCAATATTAGGTAAGTATGGACGAGGAAATTCAAAATCCCAATATGTTCGGATTAACCAAATTTCAGCTTTTGCCAGAGTTTCACATAATGTGGTGGGTCTTCCTGGAAGAAACACATAACTGTTCAGTGGAGGGAATTGACACAATAATTTAAAAGGAAAAATTAGACCACTCATTCCTTGGTAAGGTACTGAGGGAAAGGAAGGTTATGTCCTCCTATTCCAATCCATTTTCCTGCTAATGTGCACCCTGGGAGGAAGCAGATGATGGCTAAAATATTTGCATTCTTGGGAGACCAGGATGGAATCCTTGGTTCCTGGCTTGGGACTGACCCAACCCTGGATGCTTTGGCATTTGGGAAGTGAATGAGTGCATGGAAGTTTCTCTCTCTCTCTCTCTCTCTCTCTCTCTCTCTCTCTCTCTCTCTTTCAAATAAAGTAAAACTAAATAATTTTAAATGTTTAAAAATTAATGATAAATGAATTCATTAATCATTTTTCCTGTATGAGTGAATTGCAGATGATTGATTTCTCAGACATTATCATCACCAATCACATTTCAAGTGTTTGTAGTCTGTAGTCTGAGACATATCATTGAAGAATCCCACCAATATCAGTCCACGTGACCTCCTATATGATATTCCATCTCTCCAATTAATGGGCCACTATTTTATTGGTAAGATAATCCCAACTGATGTATACCCATGATGAATCCTCTTTTGGGTATGTAGCACACATGTACATACTTAACTATGAGACACCTACTTTATTATAACCTTCAAACAATAAAATTTTAGAAAAGGACACATTTTAAATGTGTTAATCTTAGGATTTTAAGCAAAAGGATGAGTAATTTTAAAAAACTAAATCTATAATTTCTATCTAAAAATCATGTTTTGCAACTAATAGAATGTGGAAGAGTTCATTTTATTTTAGAATTCTAAGGAAAATGGTGGTTATGTACACCCATGTTTGAAAGTCCATTTTCAGCCTGGTGCCATGGCTCACTAGGCTAATCCTCCACCTACAGCGCCGGCACCCCGGGTTCTAGTCCCGGTTGGGTTGCCGGATCCTGTCCCAGTTGCTCCTCTTCCAGTCTAGCTCTCTGCTGTGGCCCGGGAAGGCAGTGGAGGGTGGCCCAAGTGCTTGGGCCCTGCACCCTCATGAGAGACCAGAAAGAAGCACCTGGCTCCTGGCTTCAGATAGGCACAGCGCGCCAGCCATAGCGGCCATTTAGGTGGTGAACCAGCAGAGGGAATACCTTTCTCTCTGTCTCTCTCTCTCACTGTGTAACTCTACCTGTCAAAAAAAGAAAGTCCATTTTCAGAGTCATCATGTTTTCATTTTTAAGTTATATCCAAATTCATCAAGCCCCAGATCTTTACAGATCTTTACAATGATCATAAGGAGTCTTTATTGAAGATAGTCATTTAAAAGTCACCAGATGACGGATGAGAACCATCTTTAAACTTCTTATGCAAACATATTCACTTTGTCTAGATTCTTTGTTTTCTATGTCTTATGCTGCCCAGATTGCCAATCTATGGCATTATACTTTAAGTAGAAGAATATACAGAGTAATATGTCTTACTTGAAATGTTATACATGAAGAGTTATGGGGAAAATACTTGATAGAAACTGACTATTGTTTCTTTTCTTTGAGTTATATTATCTAATTACAATTGATTCATATCTACAGTAAGTAATTTTATAAATTCCATGATAGTTACTAAGTTATTAAGTTTTAGACACCAAATAAATGTCATTATCAAACAATTCAATTATTGCAATCTGTCCAAGTGGGGAGATAAGTAAAGATTTCTTGGGAGTTGCCTGAATGATTAGTTAGAACAAACTTTGGTTGTGAAGAGACAAGCCGTGCCCCCTCTTATTCTTTTATAACACTTCTGCTCTGTTCTCAGTTTGAATTTTTCAATGGGACTTCAAACATAATCCTATTTTGCAAAACTATTTCAGTTACCTATTTATAGTTCTGGTTTTTTAGTTATTTGCATGTTATTTATTTTTAATTTAATGACTATTAATTGTGATAAAATACACAAAAATGGCTATCTTAACCATTTTGATTTAGTTTTGTTTAATTTTTGTTTTAATTAGTTTTAATAGATTTAACGTGCTTTTAGATATAATTCTAAGAACTTCATGAATGCCCTTTTTCTCTCTCTTCCCCCTCTCTCCCTCCCCACATCCCCTCTTCTGCCTCTCTTTCTTTCTTTTTTTTTTTTTTAAGTATTTGAGAGAACATATTTTAAATTTACCTTACAGAAAAAAAGGCTTAATACTTCACTGAGTAAGAAGTTTAACAAATAAAAAGCAAAGAGTCCCTAGCTTAGTGGGAATAAAGGCAACTGCTATAAACAAAATTGAATGGAAAAAAGACCTCTGGCAGTACACTTGGGGTCAGGAATCTTGTTTTACTGTCCTGTACCCTGCATGAAGCCTAGAGTGCTTCATTCACCTAGACAGTGCTTACTGATTATTCAGTCAATCAATAAGAGAAAACCAGTGCATGTGAATTCATATCATATCTATCAACAGGAATTGTTGAAGTGAATTCCTATGAATTTTGTTCTGTGAAGCAGTGTACATACTATGAATCAGTGAATTGAATTACTATTTTTAGGATCACATATGATCTTGTGTGTCTCTGTCCATGACTCTGCACTTCTTTTCTTTTTCTTTTTTGACAGGCAGATTTAGACAGTGAGAGAGAGAGACAGAGAGAAAGGTCTTCCTTTTCCATTGGTTCACCCCCCAAATGACTGCTATGGCTGGCGCGCTGCACCGATCCAAAGCCAGGAGCCAGGTGCCTCCTCCTGGTCTCCCATGCAGGTGCAGGGCCCAAGCACTTGGGCCATCCTCCACTGCCTTCCCGGGCCACAGCAGAGAGCTGGACTGGAAGAGGAGCAAACGGGACAGGATCCGGCAACCCAACCGGGACTAGAACCCGGGGTGCCGGCGCTGCAGGCAGAGGATTAGTCAAGTGAGCCGCAGCACTGGCCCGCTGCACTTCTTGAATAAAGTTTAAGAGGTAGCCTAACTCATTGACTTGTGGATCATAACTGAATGCATGAAAATTGCAACAACACAACACCATATTCTGGAAGACAAGGCAAGGGATTAAAAATAAGTCAAATTATGGTTATAATGGTGAAAGAAAAATCCATTCGATTTTATGCCACAGACAAAAGTTCTAAAGAATTTTTTTTAATTTATACAAGACACAATTCCTAAATAGTTTTCTGATTAATTTCTCAGATTTAATGTGTTCATTATCCAAGAAGTTAAAGCTTCCAGGACATGTTTCAGTATAAGAATGATGACCAAAACTAGAATGATGACCAAAACTATATACAACAGACATTGTAAAGATTCTTAAAAAATATATGATAGAAGAATAGTGAATACCTATTACTGTCATATAAATAGTATAACTTTAAAAATGATTATTAGTGATTCTCAAAAATATATGATGTACGGGGCGGATGCCATGGCTCACTTGGCTAATCCTCCGCCTGCAGCGCCAGCATTCCATGTGGGCACCGGTTCTAGTCCTGCTTGCTCCTCTTCCAGTCCAGCTGTCTGCTGTGGCCCAGGAAGGCAGTGGAGGATGGCCCAAGAGCTTGGGCCCCACAACCCATGGGAGACCAGGAGAAGCACCTGGCTCCTGGCTTTGGATTGGTGCAGCACGCCAGCCGTAGCAGCCATTTGGGGCGGTGCACCAACAGAAAGAAGACCTTTCTCTCTGTTTCTCTCTAACTCTGCCTGTAAAAAAAAAAAAAAAAAAATTACATGGGCTGACGCTGTGGCGTAATAGGTAAACTCACAGCCTGCAGTGCCGGCATCCCATCTGGGCTCTCTGTCTGTCTCACTGTCTATAACTCTACCTGTTAAATATATATTTATTTATAATATATATATTTATATAGTATATATAAATATATTATTTATAATTTATATATTTATAAATATATATTTATATATTTTTATATGTTTATTTTATATATATATATATATACGCTGCACTTTCAAATAATTTCATGAAAATGCCAAAATCTCTTTGTTAAGGCCTATCATAGTTTACAAAAATAAAATTTAGCTTTATCTTTAGCAAGGAAACCATGATTTTCTATAATTTGAAAATTCATAGATGATAATCTGTATAGGAAATGAAATCTTTCCACATATCTTGTCATTGCTAATTTAAAATGAAGAGTCTCTTACCTAATGCTTCACTATAAAACTGTCTCCAAAAGTGAAAGTCACCGTCTTGAATCCAGAAGTTAAAGACAACCAAAAGCATTGCATTTTTCACTCTTTCCAGAAAAGTCATCTTGTCTGTTAGTCCCACCATAGTCACAGGGACATACGAAGGTGGAGATGGAAGTTTCCCACAGTTCCTCTCCATATTGCCTCCTATGGAAACCCTAAGGGTGATTACAAAGGGAACTGCAAGCAGCTCAGCCACCAGCTCCCCACAGGGTGTCACAGGGTCGATAAGCATTACATCATAGTTGGTTTCCTGCAGCTTCTTCATGAGTGTCTGGTTGTAGATGACACTCTCACAGAAAAGTTTAAAATCGTCATTCAGTCCGCTAAAGAAGTCACTCAGTTTTATTACTGATTTCCAGGGTGACAGCAGTGGTGAGACATTAAGAGCCAGGTTCTGAAATTCTGCATTTTTCTTCTCAGCATTCTCTTTGTCAAATGGCACATCGACCATCTCGAACTTCAGGGCAGAGGGGTTCCAGTGATCAATGAGAAGAGTATGTGGATGAGTGAGCACTGTTACCTCATGGCCCCGCTCTGCGAGTGCCTCTAGAATGACCTTGATGTTAAGCCAGTGGCTCATGTCACAAGGCCACACCAGCACCTTCCCACAGAAGCCACAGCCAGCACAGCAGAGTTGCAGCAGCAGGACTGAGGAAGCCCACTTCACGGACACCATGGTGCAGCTGCTCACACGGCCCGGCAGAGGACGAGTTTTAGAGCACAAAAGAGTTGGAGTGGCAATTTAAAAACAGCAGAAATTAAAAATTAAATTTGAAAGGGAAAAGGTCATGTTATTTTCATGTTTATTGAGGAAATCAAATAGAAAGTGCTTTCATTATCTATATAGGTAATAAGGGAAACGACAATTTAAAAAAATCTTAGTTAATGTTTCACATACAGAAACACATCCATCACATTGATTCCACATGAAGTCCAAGGTATCCGGTGGTTTGGGAGAACACATATTTCACATACTTACCTTTGTGATCTACTTGCTAATTTACTTTTAATTTTTTTTATTTTTTTAAGATTTTTAATTTATTTATTTGAAAGACAGTTACAGAGAGAGGTAGAGACAGAGATAGAGATCTTCCATCCGCTCGTTCACTCCCCAGATGGCCGCAACGGCCAGAGCTGCACCGATCCAAAGCCAGGAGCCAGGAGCTTCTTCCAGGTCTCCCACGTGGGCGCAGGGACCCAAGGACCTGGGCCATCTTCTACTGCTTTCCCAGGCTACAGCCCAGAGCTGGGCTGGAAGAGGAGCAGCCAGGACTCAAACCGGCGCCCATATGAGATGCCAGCACTTCAGGCCAGGGCATTAACGCGCTGTGCCACAGTGCTGGCCCAGCTAATTTACTTTTAATACCTTCGTATTACCTATAGGTAAAATTTTGATGGGTGCCATATGATTAGTGAAAAGCATTCAGGATTCCAGAAAACAAGCATAATTACTTTTTACAGAAAACTAGGAAAACTTTAGTAAATCAAGTGACTTAGGAAGTGAATTGAAAACTATGGTAAGATTTTGACAGACTATTGTGAAAGGAAGTATGTCATAATGCATAGAAGCACAAAAAAATCATGGAAATTTGGAAAACAATTCATTGATATGTATCACGAAATATATTGAGGGCAGATATTAGAGAAGAAGGTAATTGTGAAGAAGACTTAACACAGTCTTTGCTGACAAACTATCCATCTAGAGTTTAACTGATAGACAAAAGTTGTTTATTCAAGTTTTAGGGAAGGACAGGCACAAGTACAAGTTTTTGCTTTAGCAAGCATTTCTGGCAGTTAGCCATAGATTGGCAAATAAAGTCAAGATTTTATAAATAGATGTTAAAAACTGTACATTAGTTACACATCATAGCATGATAATAGTTTGACACATGGATTGAGAATCATGCCCTGAACATGGATTTCTAATAGTATACATAAGGAAATATATAGAGAAAGTGATATAATTCTAATTACAGAAACCTGATGGGCATAGAGCAATAATACATAGCTCTCAGAAACTAAATTGCAGCAATTTAATTTTTCTCACCTACATAATGTTTAAAGAAACATTTGAGCTTTCCCTTCACATAGTTATATAAAATTGAAATGCACCATTTTGAAATGAGTAAGATTGCTTAAAATTTCAGAAAGTGCCTGAATTTCATCTATCTCCTCAATTATATATTAAATGTGAAAATTAAAACTTAAGTCTCATAATTAAGTTTTAAAACCATTAAAACATTAGAATCTTGTATTGGTTAAAGTAGTAAAAATTAGATTCCAATATGAATATTTGCTCTTAATTAGTACTTTTTCTTAATTTTTGCCACATGTTGAGTATGCCTTATACAAAAAGCCTGGGATTAGTAGTGGTTCAGATTGTAAATTTTGACAGATTTTGGAATAATGGAATATAAGTAATAGGATATTTTGGGGATGGGACTCAAGTCTAAACACAAACTACTTTATATTTCATATACATATTACATACCTAGCTCAAAGTTAATTGTATATAATATCTGTAAATAATTTTGTTCCTGAAATGGTTTCATGGAACAGAATTTTCCAATGTTGTATCATATTGGTATTCAATATATTCAAGATTTTGCAGCATTGATGACTGAAGTTTTCAGAACTGTTCAAAGACCAAGATGGTGAATAACCCAATACTGTAGGAAAATATGCAAGAAAAATTTCCTACATATATCCTATAGTGTCTAATTAGTTCGTGATAACAGGCACAGGATTTGGGTAGTCTAGATTATTGAGTCATTTTACAAGGTCTGAGATATGGACAGTGTGATCATTCTTCCTCTGCAAACATTTGCATATTTGTGATGGAAAGGACAGTGTCTTTATCAACAATAGCAAGAATGGTTGTATGTACTAAGATAATTTAAGAAGTGACATGTCTGAGTGTTACAGGTAAAACACTGCGAAAAAAGACAACCTCGGTTGTTTGTCTCACATGAAAGAAAAATTTCTCCACGGACAAAGTAGTGAGCAAAACAAGATTTCTGTAAGTCAAAAGCCTTCTGCTACAAGTCCAGAAGGAGAGCTCCAAGAGAGGCAGGCTTGAGAAACTGTGATGGTGTAATCTTTTATGCACATTTTTTGGGAAAAAAAATTGAAAAACAGAACAGCAGCTAACAATCAGGTCAGAGGGTCGAGATATGTTGTGGCGCAGTGGGTAAAACCACCGCCTGTGAAGCTGGCATCCTTTATGGATGCCAGTTCGAGTTCCACTGCTCCACTTCTGATCCAGCTCCTTGCTAATGCTCCTGGAAAAAGAGTGGGGGGTGGCCAAGTTGGGCTACTACATACTCATGAGAGGAGACAGAGAAGAAACTCCTGGCTCCTGGCTTTGGATCAGTTCAGCTGCAACTATTGCAGCTATTTGGGGAGTGAACCAGTGGGTGCAAGTTCTCTGTGTCTCCTTCTTTCTCTCTCTGTAACTCAACCTTTCAAATAAATGAATCTTTAAAAAAAAAAAAAAAAAGACAGAATGAATGTAGAAGAAAGAGAGAGAGGGAGGGAGGGAGAGAGAGAGATCTTCCTTTTGCTGATTCACTCCTCAAGTGGCCACTAGTCCAAATCTAGTCCAAAATCTAGGAGCCCATAACTCCATCTAGGCCTCCCAGGCAGGTGGCAGGGGCCCAAGCACCTGAGTGAGCCTCTGCTGCCTTTCCAGGTGCATTAACAGGGAACTGGGTCAGAAGTGGAGCAGCTGGGAAACAAATTGACACTCTGAAATGGGATGCTAGAGTTGCAGGTGCATCGTGCACCACACCACCCTACCCTCATGTTAAGTTTTGCTAAAGCTTCTGCAAACATTCCCCGCTCCTGAACTGAAGATTCAATTTCTTTAAAATCCTTAATGTTATTATTTATACATGCTTATATTGATATAAATAATTTAACTCTATTTTCGGTAGGACTATAAAGTAGAAATTAGGATGACTCTTCAGGATGGATTTGAGCCAAGTATTGAGTAATTTTTAATTGTAAGTAAATATTACTGCCATCTTTATCTTGAAACCTTGGTACAAAGGACTTTGAGCAGATAATTACACAGACCTTTGAACACATAGCCTTGATTGTTTCTGCTAAAAAAGCTCCAAAAATTCCATCTGAGTTCACTTTTTTCCTTGCTCCTGAATGGCAAGCTTGAGAAAAAGGAATGGAATGTTGTATATGCATTTCAGATTTACTGTGATGGAAAATAACTGTCTGGGGCCGGCACTGTGTCTCAGTGGGTTAAAACCCCAATCTGCAGTGCCGGCATCCCAGCTGCTCCTCTTCTGATCCAGCTCTCTACTATGACCTGGGAAAACAGTGGAGGATGGCCCAGGTCCTTGGGCCCCTGCACCCACGTGGGAGACCCAGAAGAAGCTCCTGGCTCCTGGCTTCGGATTGGTGCAGCTCTGGCCATTGCGGCCATCTGGGGAATGAACAATCGGATGGAAGCGGATGGAAGACCCCTCTCCTCTCTCTCTCTCTCTCTCTCTGTCTCTCTCTCTCTCTGTCTCTCTCTCTCTCTCCCCCTCTTTGTCTCTCTCCCTCTCTGCCTCTCTCTGTGCATTACTCTTTCAAATAAATAACTCTTTAAAAAAAAGAATATAATTGTCTTAGATAACCTGAGAAAGTTTAAGATGTCTACACAAAGTCAGGGAAAATACCAAAAAAGTAAGAAAAAAGTGACCTAATATCCACTTAACAGATAAAATATCAGATCAAGAATGGAATCAGGAATAATATCTAATCCAAAGAAGATGAAATTTTAAGTATGACAAGAATGCAAAATAATAAATAAAATGTTTAAAAATCAGATTGTAAAACAAGACAAGATATTAGGGTGGGCATTGGGCTCAGCAGCTTAAGATGTGCTTGGGATACCACATCTCATATTGGAGCACCAGTTTGATTCTCAAGCTACTCCATTTCCAATGCAGCTCCCTGTTGATACACACAGGAGTGGACTTGATCATGCACAAACTGTTGGGCTCTTCCCATCCACAACAAAGTCAGATGGAGATCTGGGCTTCTGGCTTCAATCTTGGCCATTCTCAGCTGTTGTGAGCACTTGGGGAGTGAGCCAGTAGATGGAAAGAAAAAACCTCCCTCTCTGTCTCAATTTCTCCCTCTCTCTGTCACTTTTCCTTTCAGGTAAATGCATACATACATACAAATCTAAAATTAAATAAAGTGAAGAAAATAGAGATATTGGATATTGAAGTAAAATGTTAAAAATTCTTTAAAAATTACTAAAGAAATTAGAAAGAGCAAACAATATTTATTGATAAATTAATTTACTAATGTGTGGACTATTTGAAACAATCAGTGAACTAAGAATAATAGATTTTACTTGGTGCCATTTTAATCTTAGTTTGTAATAGAAAATATTATTTTAGTCTGAAGTATTGCTGTATACCATTTCTCTGAACAGAAGTAAAATGAATAAGAACAGAGTAACAATAGTTAACAATTTCACAAGACATTGCAAACATCACACATGACAAATTATGAAACACAAAGTTCACTATCAATCCTTTTTCTACCATATTATTAACATGAAAATGAGTTCAAAAGTAGTAGATAGTGATATAGAAAATACAACATTAATGAATTAGGTATTAAATTTCAGCTGCTAAGAATGTATTGTCATTGAACAAAGCACCAATTTTAGCATATGGAAGAGTCTAATTAGAAGGCTTTTAATTTAAAAAA